TCCTTATTATCCACATTGTGTAATTTCTAGTTTCTTGCCTAACCAAATTTCCCCAGCAGATAATTTTTTCTCTCATGTTTGAACAGAAAAATGTGTTCTAGTAATTCTTTAGCTGAACTTACCTTTCCTAGACTTGAAAGAGAAGCATTGGTCAGAGGCTGATCCTTCAAGTAGAATTTTCTGAGCTCCCGACTGATCATACGAGATCGCTCTGTATTCCTTTCATATAAGAATGCTATTGGAGCTACAGTATCAAAGTTTCTGTCCATATCCTCAGCCCATGATGAGTTCAGAATGACAGCTATGACAATTAAGTAGTATTAATTCAGACTTCAGTCATGTACCATAGAACTTCGGGCCTTCATGACAGAGAATGTAGTAGATACTCTGACACACACATCTCATTGTCAGTCTCATTTCAGTTGTTCTGGGATAAGTAAAACATAAAAATGGCATAGCAGTAAATGGCAATGACATGAAGAATTCCAATAACATTTTAAAACTGAGACAGGAAATGAAAATATTGAACAAGTTAAGGACCAGAATGTCTGAATTATAGGCATGCTTCTTTATGGAGGACTTGCATTAAAGAAAACTATGAAGGAAATACATTTGCTTACGAGTGTAATGCTTTTTTCAAAACTATTACATGTACTAGAAAACAACAATTGCATACCAGAAAAGTTGTCAAGAGCCAAAGCTCACGTATCTGCCAGTGCACTCTTATGTTTCTTTTTTAGGGCCGAAACCAAGCATGGCACTACTGACGACCATATTTAGAAAGAGTGCTGAGTAAATACAGAATTCATATATGACTATATACGATGATTCAAACAGGATATTTTATAATGTTATATTTTAGCGTTCTGTTTCACTGATTCATGTCTATGTTTTATGCTGACCGTCTTACAGTGTATATAATTTTTCACCTTATTCTTCACTTCCACGCTACATGTTTCAGCACTAATGTGCCATTGTCATGTGTCTTTATGCTCGTTAAACTATTGTACTGCATGCCATAATGTCTTCATTCTAAAATGACTAAAATCTGTATTCGTCATAGAGGACGATGAATTCTAAATAATAAAACTTTTCAGGATTCTTCCTACGTCATACTCAAACATGCGAATTACGCCAACCCTCCTTTATGTGTGCATTCTTCCTACGTATATTTGTGTATCGTGTTCTGTGTTGTGTTTTACTCCTGTTACTGCATGCGTTGTACTGCTGGATCTGTGTGTGTGTACAGCAGACTGGTAAAGCCAGTTTCAACAAAATCAACATTTTGCATTTGGCCCCTTTATTTATGTACCGTTATTTTTCCCAAGATTCCACTCCTGCAGTCATGTATTGGGTCTGCACAAATTACTGAATTTTAATCAAAATTATTAAAGCAATTTCTGAGAAATTCTCCATTTTTGATTTAGAAGCCCAACTTAAAGGCCCTTATTTTTTGAGCTGGAATGTTCACAGAGAAATGGCACACCAAAAACCTTCTTGGGCTCAAAATATGTATATCCATCAAAATTTCAAGGTTAGTTATTACATCATTACTGTACTTTCTGATGCGAACCATACATATTGGAAAATAAAATAACATCACTGCGTATAATAGAAGAAGGAATATGTGAGTCTAATCAGAGGCAAAATATAGGGATGCCAGAATGTCAGAAGTGTTTAAAAAGTGAAACAGATGCTAACTGTAGCATACAGCACCAAGTTATATAAATGTTGAAGACACTTAAGTAAGGAATGTATGAAAATATTCATATGCCCACTTAAGCTTGTTTTATAGTTAACTATCTGGTGGCTGTTACCCAGAACAAGACATCTGCCCTTGGTGGTATACAAGGTAATTGATTGTTATTTATAATTGATTAGCCAAGCTTTGAATGTATTAAGGCATTGCATATTATATAGACTGATGTTTCTGACAAATATTTTCCCCCCATTTCAACCGGTAAAAGGGGATCTGGCCTGGTCAGGTCTGGGCTCTTCTCTCGGCTAACAAATAACATCTCTATACATACGTAATGCTTTATATGAAAACTCATCCTTTGTAATTCCAGTGATTAAAGGCACATCAACAAATTTGCCAGAGTGAAACAGTTTCGCTGGGTGAGCTTCCAGGAATCTTCCAGGACCTGAAGCTGGTTCAATTACAGGGCCATATAAGACTATTGGCTCATAACCCCATTCCTGGAGAAAAGAAACTTGAACTGAGGACATTGCATTAACACCTGTATCTAATCTGATCATGTTTTGCTGTAATGAATACAGAGTGGGAACAAAGACATAGCATGTGGGTACTCTGACTTATAACACAAGAAATAATCAAGGAGACAGTAGTTTAACAAACTGAGGTTAACATTCATACATACAAACACCTGCGTTTCAAGATATTCATAAGTGCAATCTGCACTGAATATGAAACATGTCACAAGCTTCACAAACAACAAGACACCTTTACAATTCTAACATGCCATATCACAATAACAAACATAAATGCAAACAACGTGCATCTAAATAAATACATAAAATACAGATATTTACACTTAATGTCTATATTGATGCCTACTGGGGAACATCCATCAGTCAGCATGCACTTCCCTTCTATTCCTTAGCTGTTGATCCTGAGAGAAGAGCAAAAATTCATCAGCAGTATATGATGGGAATTATGTATTAGGACATCCCTTATTTCTTTTATAAAATGTTTTTTACCATGTACTAAATCAGTTATATAGTCAGGCAGACTGTTAAATACAGTGCTACTATAAATGATTCATTCGTTTTTAAAATGCTATATTTTCCAAAGTATTATGTTGCGCCGCAATTTTGAGACTAGAAGTAAAAATGCATTGCCTAAATGTTTAAGGCTTGCGACAAACGTTTTACAGCAATTACATTAGTATGTCAACACCTGGACAGGCAATCTAGGTTAAGAATGCCTGAGTTAGCAGAATACGCAATAGCACTTCTGCAAGTCGCGTTGTAGGTACACTGGAGTATAATAATATTATTAAATAAGCAGCAAAAAGGTACCACGGACCCACCCACAGCCTATTAGAATATACCATTTAGGGAACTGAGGACAAAAGGAGGAGTTAACCTCCCTCTTTCGCCAACCGCAGAGTCAGCAAGTTAATGGTATAAATTGCTGAATTAAGGAGACTTAGGGATCTGATGAAAAACCTAATATTCAGTTGTCAGCCGGAGGATCTATTCGAGATGGGTCTTACAAGTGGTGGTGTCTAGCCTGCATCTATTATCGCAAGTAAGTCTCTTTACTCATACTAGCCATGCTGTTAAACTTTATGGTTATTGGTAAAGTGTGTTTGTTAAATGTGAAAGCCATGTCCAGTGTGCGCGGCGAGCCCTTAGGGGAGGATAATAGAAATCATGTAACAAGTAATTGCCTAGGATGCTAGTCCGGCAATATGGCCGTCGTTATAGTGTATGTGTTATGATTACTGGTAGTGTGCAGAACACGCACATTTGTGTTATAGTTGTGACTCAATTTTTGTGATAAATATATGTAGGCTTTTAGTATGTATAACTTTATGGGCAGATTCTTTTAAGGGTGAAACTTTACGATAGGATAGTGTAGTAGTATGTAATGAGTAGCAGGGAATAGAGAATGGAAAGACGATCTCATTGAACGATGTATACTTGCATATCCTCATGAGTCGAAACAGAGAGAGAGAGAGAGCCTCAGGCCCTACACCCCCGAAGGGGAGAACATGAGGAAGAATAACATGAAAGTAAAGACACTATGTACTCCCGACTGAAGGTCGGCAGTGTTCATACTGTAAATAGGATTGTAAATAAGAGTGTAAATAGACAGGGTAATTAGAGTAGTATGTACCGGGATTGTGATTTATTTCCCCGAACCAACCCGTCCACGACCGATCCCGAGGATCCTACCAAAAGAAGGCAGAACTGACCCAGGCAACAGCAGCCAAATGCAACGACAGTTAAGGGCGAGGGATGAGACGTGGACAGGGAGGGTAGGCTCATCTGCCACGCAGGAGCGCTTAGTAGCCTTTAGATCAACCCCCCCCTTAAGACATAATAAGTGGTAACAGTGGCGAGCTACCTCCACCAACCCCCGTCACTAAGACATAATTGGCGACAGCTGTTAGATATCCAACCCACCTGTCGTAGAGGATAATATATGGTGTGACAGTCGATCGGTAGAGGTGGGTCAGACCTGACATGCTCGCTCTACATCAATAATAAGAGGTGACAGTTATGAAAGGGCCAGCCAACAGAGAATGCTCGACCACCGCGCTACCGGCCCTTAGTACGTTCATCACCTCTCGGAAGATGTAAGAAGATGGTGGCAGCAGTATGCAACGAAGGAAGCCCAGAACCAGGAGGATCCTAGCTGAGGTTAATCTAGGATTATTGTGTTTACCCCTTACAGCGTAAGAAGTGGTGGCAAGGAGGGGTGCCGCCACGCCCCCTGCCACCACGGCATAATCTATTATACGTACAAATATAATTTATATATAAAAAGAACCGTAAATGCACAAAGTTTGTATTATATGCACCAGTTGGCAGCACGATTTCAATGCCTTTACAAAATGGCGACAAAGCAAGAAAGGGGTTTTTGTTTGTTGGAATATGCGAGATGTTCGCCTGTTATAGCAGTGCAACGCGCATTCAAAAGAGAGTACAGAAAAGAACCGCCATGTAAACAAAGCATTTTGCGGTGGTATCGGCAATGTTCGTCGCTACCTAAACAATGAACTTCGGCATCGCTGGATTGGGCGTGTTGGTGAGGATGACATAGCTCTGTTCACTTGGCCCCCCAGATCACCTGATCTAAGGCCTTGTGACTTCTTCCTTTGGGGGTACATTAAGGATCGTGTTTACGTACCCCCACTAGTAGAGCTGAGGGAACGCAACGATGCTGCAGTGATGACCATTGACAGGATGATGCTACAAAATGTGTGAAACGAGCTCGAGTACTGCCTGCATGTGTGTCGTGTGACCCAAGTGGCACACATAGAACATTTGTAGAGTGTGAAGAAAACTTGGTGAGTTTACGGTTCTTTTTATATATCAATCATATTTGTACATTAATGCGTTGGAATATATAGCGTTTTAAAAAACGAATGAATCATTTATAGTAGCCCTGTATATTTATACTCGTGCAATGGACCCCTTTCTGCCTCATCGCAAGATGTGATTGTAGGACATGTAAATTTCTTTCGTGTCTTGTCGGTCTCTCATAGATTGAATAATTAAAAGTAAAATACTCGAAGTTACTTATCATAAAACTCATCAAAGATAAAATATATTGAGAGACCAGTGTTAATATATTTAACTTCATAAATGCTGGCCTACATGACTCTCTATGTTTCATCCCCATTATTATTCTAATAGTCTTCTTTTGTAAGAGAAAGATCTTCTTGGCCTCTGATGAATCACCCCAAAAAACTATTCCATATCTCATGAGTGAATGAAAGTATGCATGATATATCATTTAAAGTGTTGTAACATTACTATATGTTTTCATAATTCGTATTGCATAACATGCCTTTCCCAATCTGGGTAACAATGATTCAACCTGTGTCTTCCAATTCAAGAACTTATCAATTTCAATGCCCAAAAATTTAATATGAATTTCCTCTTGTAATAATTCATCGTTAAACTTTAAATGTACAGGCACATTGTCACAATTGATTGTTTCAAATTCTAACACTTTAGTTTTCCTCAAGTTTTTCCACCGCAGCGGCCCGGGTTTGATCCCAGGTCCAGTCAGGTGGGATTTGTGGTGGACAAAGTGTCACTGGGGCAAGGTTTTCTGAGTACTTCGGATTCCCCTGCCAATCTTCATTCCACCAATTGCTCCACAATCACCCTCACATATCATCTGGAGCTGGTACAATAGGCCAGAAGTGGCCGCAGTACAACGGACTTAGTCCCACCCCACTAGCAATAAAAAAACTGTCACATTCCTCAAGTTTAGGGATAAGCCATTGTATTTAAACCACTGACTTAAGGAATTTAACATAAGTTTAGACCTATCTTAAATTTCATCGATTAAGAACAATATAATGATATATAACAAATATCCCTAAATGTGTTTAAACAATAAATATTTACAAAGAATAAATACCAATGAGGTTAATGAAGAAACTGAAAAATTAATTAAATATGTTATGTTACACTTCAGTTCAAAAAATTATTATTTATACTTTCAAAAACACCATGCTAGATGTAAAATTTTAAGGCTTATCAGATAAACTGAACATGTGTAACAGTACCAGTACACTCCATTTGAATTTGTTGTAAATTTGTCCACATGTTTAAGCAAGCATCATGCCATGAAGATACATGGAAAGTGGAAGTATAGTTCTATACATTCTTAACCTTGACACAACTTATAGGTGAGTGGTCAGTTTCATACTCCCTTCCAATTTACACCTCAGAAATAAGCCCCTTTCCTCATTGGATAAGAGGCTGGGTGAGCCCAACAGATGGTCTGGATATGGAGGTAAAGTGAAAGATTTATTCCTCTGTTGAGAACTGAACCTTTGCTTACCAGCCAGTAGCCTAGTCACTATACTGACAAGTGTGCAAGACAGTATTTTGAAATTGTACTTACAGTTAATCCACTCAATGAACTCGCAATTTCCTGAGCTTCTTTCTTCATCAGGCAGTCCTTAATTTGTTGTGAGGAGTCTACTGGACAGTTTAATAAAGCAGCTTGTCTCTTTGCAAGGGAGAGAACACTTCCTTCAAAGAATGCATCCAGAACTCCAGAGCCACTCATGGCTATGCATCGATGAAAGAGGCCTACAGAAAGAGAAATTCTTTTAAAGTATCCTAATAGAACTAAAAATTATTTTAAATGTTCATTCTACTCATTTTTGGGAACATCTGCTAAGACATCTATGATATCTGTAACAACTCAGAAGGACATTTTTTCCTCTGGGCAAAGACATATAAAAAATAAAACTAAATCATCGTCCTAGCAATGCTCAATACAGTATCTGGCCTAGGTCACATGCCCCTTCTCTTTAACCATGGTGGTATACCTACAAGTACCTATATGGGCTTTTGTGGGTATATGTTTTGTCTAAACCAACAGGACAAGATTGCCATAAGTCAATAGAAATTTAAATTAAGCCTTACATTTCCTTTCAGCACTTGATGATATGAAATTAACAGTTATTTATATTTTGAGAGCACATAGAGAACAGAAGTGACTTTCAGGTGTCAATAAACTGAGGAGTTCATTCCATTTGAAATATAAATTTGCCTTAGTTTTAATCACTACTACCATCTCCAGTTACTTAATCCCAAATATCAAATAAATAAGAATGTATTCTTCCAACTATATATACTTATATTATTTTGAATCTGTTACATCAAAATGAACCAGCTAACAAACATGTGATGGGCTGGCTTGATAAAAGTAACAGGAACATTATCTGTCTGCTTCTGCTTCCAGTATTTGTTGTACCAATGAACCACAAAAGTAACACATTTACTTTTGAAATGTTAACCAGGATAACATGGCTGATTGAAGATTACACTAATATTGTACCTTATACTGAGATAGAGGGATACAGCCTACATCCTCACATCATATTTCTTCATAGGTTCCATTTTTAATATTTTCCTCCCAACTATGCACAATTCTCCAAAGTGATCTCTTCATCTAAGGTTTTCTTATTATAATTATGTATGTACATATTCATCATATCCTGTCCATCTCATGCTTTACATATTCTGGTGAGGTGTACAAGTGATGAAGTACCTCATTATGCAGTTTTTTCGGGCTCTTGCCTCTCTCAAGCCCGGTTCCTTGGATCCCTACTCTAAAACACCCTCATTCTAATTTCTTCCCTCAGAAATAACAAACAAGTTTCAAACCCCTATAAGATAGGCAAAATTATGGCTTTGCATACTCTAATCCTTACATCATTAGACAAAATTGGAGGACAAAATATTCTAAGCCAAACAAGAGCAAGAATTCCAAAAGTTCTTTAATCTGCAGGAACAAATCGTGTGATGACTCTCAATTAATACTGTTAACTCTAATACCCTGTCAGTGTGGACATCGTTTAGAGGTCTCTGGAGTGAATGGCTTATTTCTGTAAACTTCCTCTCAGAGTCCTTTGACTGACAGAAATCACATATTTTCAGATCCAGGGGAATGACAGTAATATTATTCTACATATCACTCTTAGTAACACCACTTCAAGCAGACTATATAAAATTTTTAGTCACTTACTGTCACTCTCTGTAGCTTACGGTCTAAAACTGTTCGGTTCTTTTATTGACATATTGACTAACACTGAAATTAACAATATGGTATATGACTTAAAAGAAACATACTTTCCAATGACCCTGATCCAAACAATCAGATAACTTAGCATAGTTGAACAACACTATTTTCCACAGCAAACTAAATTACAAATGAGAACAGATAAAATATTATTTAATGCTAAATAGTACTTGGTAACATTTAAATAATAAGAAAATATACTATGTAAAAGTAGAATGGATTGGAAGCCATTAGAGGACCCGAATGAAAGAAAAATTTAATGTAAAGGAATATGTTAAAGACTTAAAATTCTTATGTAGGATGTAAAGTTTGAAGTTCTGCTAATTACATATGAAACATAATTAAAAGCTTTTATTCTTTAATAACAGAGGATTCTAACAAATTAAAATGAGAAGCAAGTATTAATATCAATTCGCCTTTTTACTCAATAAAAGTCACGTTCTCTTAATTCTTTGTGACTAGATTCATCAATTCACTCAGTCAACTTTCACGGTCAAAAGTGTCAGTATTCTTGAATTCAGTTCAGCTTAATTCATTTATTACAGTCTTCACCATCAGCACTAGCTTAGAACAAGCAGGCACAATTAAAATATGTAATAAATCCAAGAGAAAAATGTAGTAGTAGTAGTAGTAGTGTGGGTGGTAGCAGTAATGATAGTAGTGGTGGGGGTGGTGGTAGTAGTAGAGTAGTAGTAGTAGTAGTAACAGCATCAGCAAAAATAATAACATTAACAGTATCATCATCATCTTGACAGCAGCAGCAGTAACAATGATGACAGTTATGATGACAATGACAATGAAGATGACAACAATGATGACAACAAAATATAATGTAAAATGTTACTTTTACCAACCTCGTGACATGGGTGACACCATGTGAAGCATTACACTTACAGAGCCAGCACTGTAGCCTGCAATAGTGACACTGTTAGGATTACCACCAAATGCTGCAATATTCTCTTTCACCCACCGTAGTGTTGCTACTTGGTCCTTCATTCCATAGTTCCCAGGAAGTACACGATCACCTGTACTTAAGAATCCTGTAAATACAAACATTCATTTGACATGAAATTATAAGAAGAAACATGACTCCATTGCATTGGCAGAGGATGGGGGATAATAAAGAGTTGAACACATGGTGAGACTGAATTCTGTTAACCAAAATTACACATGAGAGGCCCAATACAAAAACTCATCAGAATATCCAATTATTAATTAAAAACTGTCACATAATGGCGGTTGTCTCAATAATGTAACTGTTCACATGTTCATTATCAGTAACACACTAAACAGATATGATAAAAGTCAAGAGAAATTTCAAGACCAGGATATTCAATATAATTGCATGATGGTCCTGAAAATTTTAAGATTTTGGGAGGTTTTATCTTAAACTTCTAATGCAGTGGTTATCATAGTAAATTTTTTTGTGGGCTTATTAAAAATGTATAAATATGTTTCGTGGCTGTCAGTAAATGCACAGAAGAAGTCAGGAATATTTGTCTGAAGACTGGAAAGAAAAATTCAATGAAAACTCTTTTTTAAAAGGTAAAATTTTCCCTTGGTTTAACTAATTAAATACTACACCATGAAGGCATATTGGGGAGTGGATGTGTAGATCCATACTTTTTTGACCTTGGCACTGGCTAGAGGTGAGTGTTCAGCTTAACGCCCCGGCCGCTTTACCCCCAGGGAAAGTGCCACTAGTATCCAATGGATAGGAAGTTCGATGGACCCCAGAGCCAGTTCAGACAATGTGGAGGAGAGGAAATTCTTGACTGTACTAGGACTCAAATTTCGAACCCTCCATCATCCAGCCCATAGCCAGCCTCCATACAGACTAGGCTATCCTGGCTGCTTGTTTTTTTATTAGTAAAATAAATCACTGCTCAATATCAATGATCATTATATGAATCCCTTACTATAACATTAAAAATCTTTGAATTTTGTCTTATGTGTATTTATAGAATTGTTACAATTCTCCGAATAAATAGAGATAATTTCCCTGAACAGTATTAACAAATTATCCTTTGGAAATTCGGTGTATTTTCTGTGCAGTAGAATGACATATAAATGAAATTCATGCTTCAAAGTGTTAAAAGGAATGGCTGCAGTATCGGTCTCACTTCAAATTTCACACAAATGCAATGTTAATACTTGGGGGGGGGCACAGTAATGGGGCATTCATGCTGAGTTTCGTGAAGAATAATGAATTTGTTTAAAACATATGCTTACACAGGTGTGTACATCCACACAACAAATAATGATGTGATCATAATATAAAATTTTGTTAATTTATAATAAAAGGAAAGTAGGCTAAAATTAATGCTACTTATGTTAACAATTCTCTGTGTGTTGTAATATCATATATTTAAAGCAGAATATAATATTCATCCAGAGCATTGTCTAGGAATCAAAAAAAAAATCTTGTAATTTATCCAGAAGGATGGAAGTTCAAGAAAAATAACTTTTAAGTTACAGATTTACAGTTCTTTCCTTAATGATAAACATACAATTACCTCACTCCAGATATAATTCAGAATAAACTAATAAAATATTATGAAGAAAGTTATATAATCATCATGGCTTAATCTGATCTAATAGCAGTAATTCTTCAAACTTCTTACTTTATATAAGGAACTTCAGAATTAGACATACAATTCACTGTTTGCATTGCAGGTTAATCACCTGATCAGCCCAAGGAACACTGGGCATACACATCTAATGGTTGAAATCCTGCCTTCTTTACAATACCATAAAATTATCTATGAATTTTTCGTTGTTGATATTAAGTATCGTGTATCAAGAATACAGCAAAACCTTGTGCCTCTTTGAAATGGAATGGTAGTAAACTGAATGTATTAATGTATGAAACAAGATCAGCTTTTTAATTATTGCATTTAGGAATATTTATGACATCAGAACATCTGGTGCGTTAACTTTTCCCAGAATGAGCAATAGAAGAATGAACAGAATTTGAGAAATGTATTTCACTCAAGCCATACTGAAATAGATATATACAGGTGTCAAAATGATTTTTCAGATCTTATATTGTATTGTATTTTATTTCATCCGTTTGCTACATAGTAACATTTGGACACATCATTTGTTAATACAAGTTAACAAAATAAATCTACAAAGTTCGCAGTTGTTCAAAAACCAGCTGAAAGCATAGATGATTTTGAAATTAGGTCTGGGTTCTTGGAAAGCATTGATTTATGAAAGTGCTGTGATGCATAATACTCATATACATATATATCCTGGCATTAGCTATAAAGGATTCACTTTTACATGTCTCATTATTGGGAACAGTTTTATGAAATGTAAAAAACTCTGGAGGCAATATGTTTTTCAAAAACGTGTACATTTCTTTGAATTATACAGCATTACAATTCGGAAGACCATACTCTGCATGTCTCATTTGTGTTCTGATAAGTACATTCAGCATGTGGACAAAGTAATTATCAGTACAGATTAATCTAATCAATATTTCAACAGTCACAACTCATGCATATGGAGCATCATTGTACTATAATTTATTTTATAAATGTATTGTATTAATCTAAAGTTTGGTATGCACAAAGTGAATCTAACACTTCATCCATATTTATATGGACTGATTTAACAGGTGTTATTTTTATAAGCACCATGTTTTAGTGTTCAGTATTGAAGTTATGGAGAAGTGACTTGTCCTATATCATGTATAATGATCCATGAATATGAAGTAAATAAATAAATAAGTGAAGAGCTACTTGACCTACCTAAAGCTCCAATTCTATAGTTGGTTGTCACAAGAACAATGTCTTGATCCATTAAGTATTGTGGCCCATATGCCTTGCTATGTGCAGTTAAGCCATAAAATGCTCCAGGATGGAAGAACACCATAACTGGTCTCTCTGGATTATGTGCTCTTCCTGGTAACTAAAACAAATAAATCACTTACATACTGCATTGTGTGATGAAAATTCTTATCATATCAATGCACTTATTATTTTTTCCCTATTAAATGAAAAATTTCAGTAACATTCTGATGACTAATATTCAGTCTGTTATTTATTTTTTCATTTCTTCACTTCCACCCAAAAGATCAATTCAGCAAGCATTGTTATTTTCTCATATTTTACCATTACTTTTGAGAATTAACCTCTAGTAAAAACTGCACTGAAACAATTGCATTGGAACTATCTTAAATAGTTGTAGTAAAGTGTGGGAACATCCCACATTATCACGCATTGTCTGAGTCTGAGTCTGAGTCTGAGTCACATTGCAACTGACGGTCAGTCAGTCTGTAAGTCTTGGTGTCGAGCCCCAGCTGGGGCTCATGACCAGATACTTCTTTTGACTGAGTTACTGTCTTGTCCATGTGTAGCGCCCTCTCTGACTAGAGGTCGGGTCTGTCATTTGTTAGTCAGTCTGTATTAAGTCCATTGTCTGTATTTACATACATTTACAAATACACACTTA